CCGGTAGCTCTCGCAATTTATCCCTCATTCGGTATCTATTCGATTTTTTGTCTTTCAAAAAACAACTAGACCATTCGCACTTCCGAAAAAATGTCATCAAAATCCACCCACAGCCAAACATATGGACATAGTAGGCTAGCCAACCTAATGATTGTGCGATAGGCTCATTGACATATTCAGATAATAGTAATTTGTAAATATCCTTTCCCTGATAACGTGTGGCAATCCCATAACGCAAGTTTATCTGAAAAAAACACATCCGCTAAAAGCGAAAGTCCTCTTGCTCCGTAGGATGGAGATGTAATTGACAAATAGCTTTCTCTTATCAAAACATATTGGACTGTTATAACGTAGCTATGCAATTGGTCTTATGTTAAAACAAACAAAAAAATCACATATATTCAAACTTTACATACGGGAGCGTATCTGCACCATAATTTCCATGGCTGCGAAAGATATTGAAAGATTGTTGGGCACCTTGGAGACTTCACACAAATGTGATTATCAATAGCACTGTCATGGTAATTGTGTGTAACAGCTAAAACTCGTCCATGGCGATTGAGTTGTCGCTGAACAAAGCACATTTCTTGCAGCTGAGCTATCATTATGGAAGCGTTGTAAGACGCACCTTTAGCAAGCAACTCAAGCTGCGCACACCTCTTTGTGCAACTGCTCCAAGGAAGTTCATGAGTAAGAATGATTCTCACCCAATAATTCACAGTCCCGCATAATACAGGTAGTTAAGAAACGGAGGCTGCTAATAAGGAAGCCTCAAATACTCAAGAGATGTTAATACTTGGTTGATATGCATTCCTTCTATGCCTCCTGAGCACATTTTTCGTTTAATAATGTAAAATCTGGCGTTCCATTAACCAGCAATTATATTAGGTCGATCCGAAGGTCTTCCACACTTTTTTCGGTCATAATTTTATTGTGCAATCACCACCGGATCTACGACGTTCGTCCAACGCTACACTAGACTTTTAGTTCCAGAAGCCCATAACTCTGGCGAGTCGAAGAAGTGCGACATTTTACTCTACAGTTCGTGACCACCGACTTCTCCTCCCGTAGATGCAATTTCAGTCCTCGAAACAGATGTCAGGCAGGGCCAAATCAGGAGAACAAGCACGATGAGCGGTAGAACCTCTAATCAGGTTCGGCAAATTTCTGGCTAAAGCGTTGCCACGTAAACTCGGATAACGTCACTTGGTGGGTAAATTAGCCAGTTTTCTTGTGCTTTACACGATCTGCATCTGTTAACTTTTGTAGTCGTGGAGAGTAAACTTGGGCGGTCTTTGTGTGAATAAAAATTTTGATTCGAG